CTCTGGCGTCGAGATCCGGTTTTGGAGCTACAATTTCCGACGCCGTTGCGCGTAGTTCTATTGTGTTTTGCAACTCAGTCTCTGCAGATCCTATTGCAATGGCTGCGTCAAAGTTGCTTCGTGCTGTGGCTGCATGCGTAATACCATTGTCTTTTGCAGCTGGATCTCGTCAATCGTCTTGGAGTGGCTGCATGAAGGCTGCGACAGTGATTTGTCAGCAGATTTTCTCCATTTTGGCGCTAGTGATTTTCCTTCTAAAAATCCTTTTAAAAAGTGCTTCAAAATCGTCTTTTTTTCGCTCTGGCGTCGAGATCCGGTTTTGGAGCTACAATTTCCGACGCCGTTGCGCGTAGTTCTCTTGTGTTTTGCAACTCAGTCTCTGCAGATCGCATTGTAATGGCTGCGTCAAGGTTGCTTCGTGCTGTGGCTGCATTCGTAATACTATTGTCTTTTGCAGCTGGATCTCGTAAATCGTATTGGAGTGGCTGCATGAAGGCTGCGACAGTGATTTGTCAGCAGATTTTCTCCATTTTGGCGCTAGTGATTTTCCTTCTAAAAATCCTTTTAAAAAGTGCTTCAAAATCGTCTTTTTTTGCTCTGGCGTCGAGATCCGGTTTTGGAGCTACAATTTCCGACGCCGTTGCGCGTAGTTCTATTGTGTTTTGCAACTCAGTCTCTGCAGATCGCATTGTAATGGCTGCGTCAAGGTTGCTTCGTGCTGTGGCTGCATGCGTAATACTATTGTCTTTTGCAGCTGGATCTCGTAAATCGTATTGGAGTGGCTGCATGAAGGCTGCGACAGTGATTTGTCAGCAGATTTTCTCCATTTTGGCGCTAGTGATTTTCCTTCTAAAAATCCTTTTAAAAAGTGCTTCAAAATCGTCTTTTTTTCGCTCTGGCGTCGAGATCCGGTTTTGGAGCTACAATTTCCGACGCCATTGCGCGTAGTTCTCTTGTGTTTTGCAACTCAGTCTCCGCAGATCGCATTGGAATGGCTGCGTCAAGGAGTTTTGAAGGAAGTCTCGCACGAAATGCGTTTTTGGCGCTAGTGATTTTCCTTCTAAAAATCCTTTTAAAAAGTGCTTCAAAATCGTCTTTTTTTCGCTCTGGCGTCGAGATCCGGTTTTGGAGCTACAATTTCCGACGCCGTTGCGCGTAGTTCTATTGTGTTTTGCAACTCAGTCTCTGCAGATCGCATTGTAATGGCTGCGTCAAGGTTGCTTCGTGCTGTGGCTGCATGCGTAATACTATTGTCTTTTGCAGCTGGATCTCGGAAATCGTCTTGGAGTGGCTGCATGAAGGCTACGAAATAAATTTGTTAGCAGATTTTCTCTATTTTGGCACTAATGTTGTTTTTGTTGCACGTAGGTTTAGAGCAGTGTGAAGTGTGGGGCGTAAAGAGTGCAGTGTGAAGTGTGAAGTGTGAAGGAATCAGTGGGAAGTGAGAAGTGTGAAGTGTGGAGTGTGAAGTGTGAAGTTTCAGTTTGGAGTGTGAAGAGCGCAGTGTGAAGTGTGAAGTGTGAAGTGTGAGGTTTGGAGTGTGAAGGAAGCAGTGTGAAGTGTGAAGTGTGAAGTGTGGAGTGTGAAGTTTGAAGTTTGGAGTGCGAAGAGTGCAGTGTGAAGTGTGGAGTGTGGAGTGTGAAGACTTTGCTTCGTCTCTCGCTGAAAAAATCAAACGGTTGTCGAGGGAAGGACACGGTCGGGTCAGGGTGTCTTTGAACTATAGGTCATTTATGTTTGGGAAACTTCCGCCGCCGGCTTGCCCGGGTCTATGTTAATGTTTAATAGATGGAAAAACATCTTCCTCCTGATGTATACATACAGTAGGGTAAGTGGGTCTCTATGTGGATATGATAGTCTTTGTGGAAGGTTAAGTTACATAAAACTCAATGGATTTGCTAAGTTCCAAAGCGTCAAAATGAAAAGAGATAATTGGAACGTTGTGAGGACTCCGCAATGAAAGCAGAATTCAAAACAGTCAAAACTTCCAAAAACGAGGAAAACGATGCTTCAAGATTCAAGGTGCTTAGAACTTAGACATGACTTGTCCCGACTTTAAGACGAAGCCTCACTAAGTTCAAAAACCGTTGGTCCACAGGGCTTCCAAAGTTTTGCTATATCCAATCTTTACAGATGTTTTCGATGTATTTCTACCCCCGGCTGGCGGTCAGATCTGTCCAAGATTATGTTTTTCCACTCAGAGTTGAACCGGATGTCTGGCTGGCTTTTGGACGGCCATACCATGCAGGTATACGTACAAGTGCTCCTACGTGTGTGCAAGAGCAGTATTCTGTACAACTCCCTCGCTTCGAATGTCCACCACCAGGAAATTGCACTTTACCTTATAATTTGGTGAATGATGATGTGTGTGATTGCCCTGGAACCTGTGCCGACGAGGAGAAGTGGAACTGTGACACCTGCATGTGCCCAGAGGTCTGCGGCAATCGGCACCGGAACTGCTTCGACGTTTTCTTCCAGTGCCCAGGCACCAATTGCACCATTAGCGTTTTCAGCCTCAATGACCGGCACTGTGACTGCCCAGACTGTTCCGATGAAGAGGATTGGACCTGTGAGACTTGCCTCGCTGGATGCCCCACAGACAAGACTTGCCATAGTCTGTGGGTCTATGCGTGTGAGTCTGCCAACTTTCTGTGCATCGTTGGGTCGACTCAGTGCATCTTCCCCTGGAGTGCCGTGAACGATAACTTTTGTGATTGCCCTCTCTGCGACGACGAAGACGCGTGGGATTGTAGCAATTGCTCATCCGGCTGCAAGGAGGAGATATGTGATAATGTGTTATTCGGCGGTCTTGACTATAACAGAAAAAATGAGAGAGGTTACACCTGGCAACGGCGGACCAATTGCTTTGGCGAGCAGCTCACACCCCCCGATTATTCAGTGCAGTGCCCGGGCTATCCGGCGAACAGCGGCTTTCCAGCCACACAGCCTTCATGTACCATTCCTTTCGCTGCTTTGAATGACAACCGGTGTGACTGCCCCACATGCAGCCGAGTCGCAGTAGATGCATGTAGTGTTTTCTGGACCATTCTGGTCCGTTTCTTTGCACAAACATGTGAAAACTATTTGCCATCTGTACTTGTCCCCTCACTTCAAATACTTGGATCTTGTGACTAAAAATGGGGAGTTTGGGGTTCTTTGGGCCGACACGTTCGCTTTCATAGAAATATGAAATGTGAATAATATTTACGTTATGTAGAGCCAAAACACATGCGGCCAAGCAATTAGGTTGAAATGATTTGAAACCAAAATCTGGAAGAGTTGTCTGTTCCCTGCGCACCAAGGGGTATAGAAAAACTGCAAAACAACCATGGCGCTTTTGGATCTCCAAAGGCTAAGCTTTAGGCAAAGGCGCAGAGAGTGAGCAGTCAGGAAGACGTACGGCTCTTTGGATTAGAGTAGGGAAGTGACCAGATGCGTCATGATTTACACTTTTTTCAGCATATATTCCAAAATGGTCTAGCCATTATCTAGCTAAAATCCCAGCACCATGGAGCAGACAGGGGGCAACTGCGTGGTCACTGAAACTTTTCTCCAACGTGCACAAGATCTCCCTCTGAACTGCACACCAGGGGCAGCGTCTGCGAATGCTTGCCAGAAGACGAGAACGTGAAAATCAAATTGTGTTATGCTGGAATTGTGACATCAAAGAGGAAGTGAGGACAATGGCTTCGTTTTCGGCTCTTCTATACCGATTATAGGAGTCATATCTTGCGATAGCACCCCTCAATGCTTCCTACTTCAGAAGCTTCATATCTTCTGATATCTTCATCATTTTTTTATCGTGCCATAGCCTTGTTACCTATCACCACCTTGCCCTTTCGGCACTTTTTCCACTGTCCCAATGTGTGAGTTTGCGCTTGGTTGAGGCAGGGACGAATCCAATGAAGCTTGTGGCGACGGCGTTTGCAGCTCCTCCATTTACTGCAGCCCCGGTGGTGTGAATTCGTTGGTCTGTCCTTGTCCCACCAGCTGCGGTGCACCCACTGACTGCACGGGGAAGTGCTCTGGAGATCCCTTGCTGTTTGGGAGCGGACCACCAAAGTATTACCCTCCGGAGGCGATCAAGCCGTTGGCCGAAGTTTTCGAGGGCAGTCTCGGGGTAGTCAGATGCCTAAAGGATACATAACATATTCAAACACCAGATGGTTTCGCATTGCACAGGGGTCAAAGTAGAAAGAAGTGAAGGCTGATGAAGGCTATCATCAAACATCCCCTAGCATTTCAAGAGTTTCATTCTTCAAGATGCCTCTTGCGCAAGGTGCTGGTTGGCAAGGCTCCGCTGGATTGCCTCTACTTCTGTCCAGGGGCGGAGTGCGCCAAGAGCGTGTACATTCTCAACGACAGTGTGTGCGATTGCGTCAATTGTCCCATGGCGGCATCTCGGTTCTCCCCTAGCTGTGGCCTACCTAGCTACCTACCGACAGATAGACAAACATACAGCCGGTACGGACCGTACAGTACAGACACGTTCTCCTTGGGACGCCCTTCGCTAGCCCCAAAATGGTTAATGGTAAGGAGTTTTTTGGATTAAACAGCCAATTGATTAAGGCCCTGCTAGTCTTGCCTTCAAAAAACAACAACGTGTTTTTAACGAAATCCCGAGCCATTCCAAGCCTGCCTGTCTCAAAAATTCAAGTGCCAGCCTGAGGTGAAGATGAAGGCAGCTTTTCTTGTGAGACCTGTACGTGCCCCGCTGCGCCTCTGCAACGCTCCTACGACTTCAATTCTGTGGGTTGCGGCTTCACACCTTTGGACACAGTGGTGCGAGGGAAGGGTCCAGCGAGCGGCTTCCCGCCGTGGCCTTTTAATCCAGTATGTTGGGGTCCTCGAGGCGATTTTCGCCCATCAAAGGCTGGAGGGGTGGACGGCTCTGGTGGGGCCTTCAAGCAAAAGCTGCTGGAAAGGGCGGCCGCGCGGCGCCGCGGCAGCTGTTTGGTGATGTTTTTTTGTTGGGCCCAGGCAGCCCAAGTAGGGGACATTTTTTAGGACAATGCCGTTGCTTGGGGTGTGTTGAAAGTTGGATCTAAGGGTCGATTTGGAGTTGAACAAGGTCGTCCATCAAGCCCTTGCAGATGAGGGTGTCAGAAAAGCCGTCAAGTCTGCTGAAGCAGAAGGCTACAGCGCGGCCTCCTTGAAGGTGGGGGCCACTTTTCGCTGCGGGTTTACAAGAATCCCGCGTTGCAAATGATTTGATTTTTTTCTGCGAAATGGAGCCCCCCCCTTACCTAAAAATTACATGGTTGATTTTGGCTTTACCGGCACAATGGCCACAAATTTTTGCAGATGAGCATCATGGTGTTTTGTCTTCTTTGTTGAGCATCGTTGAGCCTTGTTGGCCGATACCCAGCATATACCCAGCATATCCATGGCAGGCTGAAATGGATGCACTGGGCTCTGCCATTGGTTTGGGACCCCACCACCGCCGGGTGTATGGCCTGGTACATTCCTTCCTGGCAGAGCGCGATGTTCAAAAGACGTTGGAAAATTGGGTAGCAGAAGCCTACAATGAACAAGCCGAGGACGATGTGAGGCGACGGGAAATTGCAGACTAAACAGGTGATTTGGTGGTTGTCGATATCGGGCACCGGGCGCAGGTCAGTCGGTTGGTCTTTGAAGATTTGAAGCCATCCTGATGTATCTTGATATTTTAGTAATAGTAGTTAGATTATTTATTATTTTGTAACCTGGTAGCAGTTAAAAAAACCTAACGCATCTAACTTTTGTACCATGAAACAAAGTAAATTATATTGCGTCCTGAATACTTTCTCTATGTGTGATACCAGTAGTACCGCTCAAGGCGGTGGCGGAAGTTTCAAAAATAGGAAACTATAGGAGAGGTTGGTTGTTGTGAATCACAGATGGCAGAGCGAATCCACTGATGGACCGAAAGGTGGTTGGAGTTGTGTTTTTTGGGAGCGGTTGCAATGGTTGCAGTGGTACCCTGGTCGGTCACCTCACCCTATACTGCTGGATGCAGTGTGATGTAGTTAGTGCAGCTGTAGTTAGTGTAGTGGAGTTGTAGTTGTGGTGTAGTGCTATTCATGCATTGAGCTTGGCAGGCTTTGGGTGTGCGTATCAGATCATCTTGAAGTGAGCCAATGAATACTATCATGTTGGCTCAAGTTGGAGTTGAACCAAAATAGCATTCATTGCTTTTCTTTCTAGGTCTGGGAAAGGGTGACCTTTCTAGACTTGAATATTTCCAGGGGTGACCTGGAACGAGGGGTGAGGGGTGACCTCGTATGCTGCGCAGACTCCCTGGCATTGACATCCCTGCTGCCACCGAGGCCAATATCCTCCACGCAGCAGCCTTCTGGGAGTTCAAGCAGCATGTGGAGAGGCTGGCAAGGGAGGGCCTTGCATACACGTGTTGGATGCACACAGTTGTACTACTACGAGCATCAGGAGAAGATGGACCTCCTTCTTCTGGCGGCCTCCATGTGTACAACGGTTGCCAAGGACCTTGTGCCCCGAGCTTTTCGTGACCTGGCGCACCTGGAGAGGGGATTCCCGGCCACATTTGTTGATCCACGCCTCTTTCCTCGGGTGACCCTGGGCAGCTTGGGGTGCAGCTGGATCGAGAGCACACCGATCTCCTAGAGCAGTGGCACATTGCGCTTGGGCACTGGCTGCCTCCATTGTGGCGACCCTACAAGACGAGTCTGCTGGGGATGTCTTGTGGGGCTCTGCAGCTCCTGCTTTACATGGAGGCAAAATTGTGCGCACTGTGGGGAGCCTCGGAAGATGCTATTGGACTCATGATTGCATGAAGGAGGCGACGCCTTCCCCTCTCCCGCAGCATCTTTTTGTTCTCCGCACCTTAGCACTTTTGTTGCGCTGCTACGGCACCAGGTGTGGCAAAGGCCACTATGCTGTACAGGCAGCCTCTTCCTCCTCGTCATCGTCAGGGGGTGGCCCTACACAAGGTTGGAATGCAGCTGACTGAATGCAGGCCATCATGTGGCTGATGATTGGCTGCAGACCAGGGCACGAGTCGAAGCGGGCCTGCTAGCTGCAGGGGCTCGGGCGGTGTGTCCTGCCTTGTTACGCCCCAAGACAATCTACAAGCGGAAGCCCAAGGCCATCAAGAACTACAGTGAGGCCACATCAATGGCCTTGTCTCCATGTTCCAGGGCATGGGATCCTACAAGCCTGCAGGTATCTTGACGGATGCCTTGCGCTCCGAATGGAAGCAGACTTGCAGAAGGATCGCAGAGAAGAAGGTCCAAGATACGGAGAAAGCCACAATTGACCGGGTGGTGAACATTTGGATGGAGTTGCGATCCTTCCTGGAGAGTGGGGGGCGATCCGCACCTCCGGATCTTGATCAATTCCTCCAGCACACCAATGCGCCGGCACGAGCCCTTCAAGCCCTGAAGTGGATGAAAAAAAATGCCAGCCAGGAGATGGACTTGACAAACCTGCAGGTGCCTGTCACGCCCAGGGCGACTGGGCCTCGTGGCCAGGATGGCTTCGACTATACCATCCCTGCCTGTTTTCTCTGGTGGGTTCTTTTGGGCGAAGGAAGTCTTCAAAGCCCACCGGGCACTTGCCCCAGCCAGGCAACGTGTTTGTGGCTTGTGTTTCTCCGATGCTGGACAATCCTGGAAGGTCAGGAGTCCATTGCAGAGCGACATGATTGCGGTCCTCTGGGACAACCCAGAAAAGGTCACTATATACTCCTGGCACCCATGGCCCAGCTTTTGGAGAGCCGGGGTGCAGCCTCTGCTTCCTTTCTGGCCTTCTCTGCTGAGTTCACGAACTGCTGCGACAGTTTGAAGCGTTTCCTGACATCGAGGAACTTCTGCGATGAGGCCCAAATGGGTTGCCTGTCCTGGCGCAACAGACGTTCAGCTTCGGCCAGCCCATGTGCCTTGGGCTTATCCAACACTTCTTGTGAAATCGCCTCCCATGAGAGCTGGTCTGTCAGAGCTGAAAGCAGCTCCCCACACCACAGACTTGATCTTGATGGAGGCTGCGTACTTCCCTGAGGAGTAGTGGATTGCACTTCAGAGAGTTGCTTATTTGGAGCACACCTTTGCGCCATCCTTCATTAATTTGGCCGGGCCTGTGGAGGGAAGCATGGGGCAGGTATCTGCCGAGAGGGCAGTGATGGCAGAGTGGGTCCGAAGCCTTCAGCCACGCGGGTCCCTGCGGCCACTGGAGAAAGGGCGCAATTCACCAGGAAGAGGGCTGCTGACAAAGCCACTGACGATAAGGTGGTCGAAGTGATGCGTCCAGCCACAAAGAAGGCCAAGTCGGTGGCTGCCCCCAGGACCCCGCCTAAGGCAATGCCGAAGACACGGCCGAAGGCGCCACAGAAACCAGCCGCCGCAGCCAAGGCGGAACCAGAAGGCAAGCCGAAGAGCTTGCCACGTCTTCCAAAGGAGGTGGCGGCAGACAGTCAGGAACTCAACTTGACCTCCACCTGGAAAAGTTGGGAGTCGGCTCAGGCAAAGCCCAGGCCTCAACCTGCGTGCGGACATCCCGCCAGGGTGGCAAGATTTTTGGCGGGCCTGCCAATGTCGCCCTGCAAGTTTGCTGCTTTCTACATGGACCTGAAAGCCGAGAGGGGGTGACCCAGGGGATGACCTTTGCAACGGCCTGCGGTGTGGCATGGTGACAACATCCTCATCCATTGCATCAAAGGGCGCCACCGTGGAGCCTTAATTTAGCAGTACTTTGTCGAGCTCTTCTGGCAGGGGAATCTATCGAGACAGCGAACGAGTACATCCAAGACCGCCGAGATATTGAGCTTCACAAAGATGCGCAACTGGCTCCACAAGGCCCAGCAGGAGACTACGCATGGGCACTATGCATCCAGATCCACAAGGATATGCAGCCACCGACAAATCGAGCACCCGTGTGATTGTGGACGCTGGTCTTCTCTATGGAGAGGGACATTCCTCATAGGGACATTCCAGGAACATTCCTTATTATTAATCTTAATACGAAATATTTCAATTTCATTCTAAATAATGAAATTTCATTTCAAATAATGAAATTTCATTCCAAATACTTATTTTCCATTTCAAAAAATACTTTTTCGTTCATGTTTTTTAAGGGTTTTTCAAATGATGATTTCAAGAATTGTTGTTATTTTTTATTTAATCGATTTGTTTTTGTTATATTTTTTTTGTTTTTTTTTTAATGTTTTTTATATGTATTTTTCTGTTTTTTGATTTTTATTTTGATTGTTTGTTGAACTTTTCTGATTTTTTGAATTTCTTTGAATGTTTATTGTTTTTCGTTTTTTCGTTCATTTTTTCCTTTTTTAAAATATTGATTTTTGTATGTTTTTTTGTGGAATTTGTTCCGTTTTTCCTATTGTTTCTTGCGTTTTTATTTTTTGGAATTCGTTTTGGAATGCGTGGATTGTTTTTTTCAGTTGTTTTTGATGTATTTTTGAATTTTTGAGAATTTTTCAGTTTTTTTTTTGGGCAAGGACAGCAGCTTTTAGGAGTAGCCCTTTGAGGAGTACCCCAGGGCTCTGTAATGAGCTGGCACGACCTTGTGTCAGCACAAGCAAGCCGACGGGAAGGCGAAGCGGCCTCGCTAACCCGTACACCGCCACTGACGTCTATGAGGCCTTGGCATGGGAGCATCCTTGGTGTGACCAATGCCTCCGCCGAGCACCTGCCTCGTGGTGGCCACCGGAATAGACCTGATCCTGCCGAATTTTTGGCTATAATTAGCGCTGTTTTGGCTGCATAGCCCGTTCCGGGCTCGGGGCCCGGATAAGAGCTAACATCCTGATTGCAAGACGCCCCCAGCAGTGACATTGTGACGCGTGGAAAATGCGACCCAAGGTTGTTGGGGAGGCTTCTTATGGGTTTTCAGTTTAGTGACAGCTTCACTCTTTGACATTCCCAGTTGAGTTGCTGTCGGAGGAAGTTGGGGTTGGGAGACAGCCTCACAACTTGTAGAGCCAGTGCAAACACATATAATGCTCATGAGGGTGGGCTCATGCAGCGTGTAGTGCACTAACTGATTTCTAGCTCTTCGCATTAATTTTTGGTAGCCTTGCCCAGCGGTTGTATGGTCAGGCCTGCTGAGCAGCTCATACAGGGGAGGGGGAGACCCGAGGTGCATCTTTCAATTTAAGGGAGGGGGTACCAGTGCTGTAGACAGAGAAACGGGCAAAGAAGGTACCCCCCAGGAAATCCTTAAGAAGTTGGGTGACAACTTTGATGATGGGGTGGTTGATGCCTTAGTCGGGCTGGGCATAGAGAGCCTCCAAGAATTTCGTTCTTTTTGGGCATCTGAGCAGCATCGAGACCTGGATAGGTAAGTTGGGCTTGGGTGACAAAGCCTTGCTGATGACGGCTCGAGCCGTGGATGGGCAGCGGTTGGTCTTTACTACCGCCAGGTAGAGCAAGACCGGTCGAAGATCGCCCTGTCTGACTTGGATACAATGCTCGGGAAGACCGAGTTGAGGGACACCAAGCAGCAGTTCTGGCGGCGCTACAAGATGCGTTTCCCACCAGAGATCCATCCTGGGCACTGCGGTCTCGAGGGTGGCCAGGGAAACCCAGAAGAGGATGCTCTGTGT